CCAGGTTGGAAGGGGTGGGAATCATGTATGAAGTAAAGGAAGCTTAATCCAAGGTAATGGCCATGGGAATAAAGAGGAAGAGACTGATTTGAAAGGTTTCTTGGAAAAAGAACTGACAGGACCTTGATCACCTATTATGTACAGCAGATGAAGATTAAATGAATTTTTAAAAATCCCAAAGATGTTCACTGAATTCACCATCTAAATAGGAGTATGAAGGGTTTTTTTTTTTTATGATTACTCAAAGAAGATATAAAATTTAACATTTTCAGCAATATTTTAATGACAACAGATCTTTGGCACATTTCCATTCCTCGCTTTTCTCATCTATAAAGTGGGGGATAATACCAATATTGCAACTGTTGTGAGGACTACAGACAATGTCTGAAAGGTATAGGGCCTGTCTCAATAAATAGCAATTATTATTATACTGTCGATTCTAATACTTCAGTGGCTAAAAATAAATGGTTTCAATCAGAATTACAATTCTTACTCTAATGGCTTAACCATATGGAAGCCTATTCCTAGTGTAGAGATAATAACAACAGCTAACCTTTACTTGATGCTCATTATGTGCCTGTCACTATGATTAGTGCTTTACATGGACGATTTTATTTTAAATCTTTCAACATAAAGTGGACCCTCGCTTTAACAATTTAGAAATTGAGGCTCAGAAAGTTTAAGTGACTTGTCCAAGAAAATGATCTAGAATTTGGTCAGTAGTCTCTAGATCAGTGGTCATCAACCAGTGGACCACGGACCACTGGTGGTCCATGAGGTCCGAAAGGTTGGTGACCGCTGCTCTAGATCATTTGCTCTTAACTCACACTGAGGTCAGGATAATTTCCACAAAGAGAAAAGATCCCCAGCTAAGCATATATGTTCTCCCACATAAATCTCTGATGTAAAGAACAACGTGTGTGTTTTTTCACTGTGATGGAGGGAGTAGAGGGGAGCAGACCCAGTTCTAATGCCCCTTTAAAAGGGGCCCAGAGAAAACAGGTGGTTTATCTGGCTGGTCACAGTGTTTATTTACCAGAAAGGTACTTTCCCATCTCTGGGAATTTGCTCATGCTGTTCCAGCCCCTCTTCTTTCACCTGCTCAGACTTTACTAGTTTGTTAAGGCTATATCAAGAGATACTTCCTCCAGATTTCAACTCTTTCCTCTTCCTGACTGTCCACGGTATTTCTTGCCTGTAAAAATTCCGGTACTCTGTTCATGTTCAATTGTGTCGTTCCTGGGTCTCTCCTGTGTCTAAGTCTTGCCTCCTCAGACAATTACAAGTTCCCTGGAAGTAATCCAGGACAGGACTTGATACACAGTAAGACACTGGGAAGCTGCCCCACCAGTGTGTGTTTCTGTAGGATGCTCTCCTCACCTTGAGAAGCTTCTCTTGCACCTCAAGGACTCTTGCTTCCCTCCGTTCTATCCAGCGAGAAAGAGTCCGCAGGGCAGCAGCCCGAGTTGGAATTTGAGGGTCATAAGCAGATAAAAGAACTTCCTGGAGCTGTTCTGTGGTTATGCTTCCAGATTTCTCGTTTGCAGTAATGCTGGACTCACTGGCCTCCTGAGGAATGAGTGGAGCACTAGACTTCAGGCCAGTTTGATTGGGTTTCTCGTGGCTTTGCTGTGGTTCGAGGTGGCTATGCGACACATCAGTGTATCTTTCATGACTGGTTTGTTGTTGCTCTTCTGTTTTCCCTTCTGGGTCCTTTTTGTTCAGGGTACTCTGGGCAGCCACACTGACAGCCTCGGTAGAAAAGGCTCCATGGGTAGAGATGGTGATGCGAAGGTCAGCAGCGAGTTCTTGGATGACAGGGTCTGGGTGTGTGATAGAGACCTTCTCCAACAGAGGCAGCAATTGCTTCAGGACAGCAAAATCACTTGAATTCAACTACAAAATGAAATAAAAAATGGCAAATGTTAACATGACTTTAACATAAGGCAAAACATTCTGAGTGAAAGGGGCGGGGAGAAAATCTGGTTGCTGGTGTAATCAGCAGGTAGCCTGAGTCTGGCACTAACAGCCACTGTTGAGTAATTACAACAAAAAACATTTATTGAATACTTAACATGTATATAGGTCCTTTTCTAAGTTAACAAATACATCAGCAATGCAGACTATTGCTCTTAATTTTTACAATCTGATGAGCATAACATGGCATCTTATAGTTTTAATTTGCATTAGCCAAACTAATAGTGCTGCTAAACATCCTTCCATGTTTATTGGCCATCGCATTTCTTTTTCTGTTAAGAGCCTCTTTACATCCTTTGTACCCACTTACCCCTTAAACTGTTTATCTCTACAGCTATTCTTACCAAATTAGATTTTTTTAATCCTCACCCAAGGATATTTTTCCATTGATTTTTAGAAAGAGTGAAAGAAAGTGGGAAAGACAGAGAGAAATATCAATGTGAGAGAAATACACTGACTGGTTGCCTCCTGCATGAGCCCCAAATAGGGCCTGGACCAGGGAGGAGCCTGCAACTGAGGTATGTGTCCTTGACTGGAATCGAATCCAGGACCCTCTATCCATTGAACCAAACTGGCTAAGGCCCAAGTCAGATTTTAATACCCAATTATATGATAAAATTATTTTCCAGATTAATGTATTTTTTACTTTTATTGTATTTTTAAAGTACCTTCTGCCATAAAAGATGAGTTCCTATTAGCAAAGTACTTAGCGCCTGACACACAGTAAGTACCATGTAAAGGTTTTAAAAATAAATACGATAACCAGCCAAAACCGGTTTGGCTCAGTGGATAGAGCGTCGGCCTGCAGATTGAAAGGTCCCAGGTTCGATTCCGGTCAAGGGCATGTACCTGGGTTGCGGGCACATCCTCAATAGGATGATAAACAAAACACATTCATATCCCTATGATCTAATTACAATAATTATCTACATTTTATTTTTTTAGTAAATTTATTGGGGTGACATTGGTCAACATGATCATACAGGTTTCAGGTGAGGTTTTTTTTATCTATATTTTAAACAGGAGGAAACTGAAGCACAGTACAGTTAAGTAACATGTCCAAGGCCATATGGTAAGATGTGAACTCTACAAGTCTGGCTAATATCCTACGTGGTCTCACTTGAACAAATGTTCTTAACTAAATGATCTAAAGAGGCTAGGTAGCATTGCAATTCTTAAACCCTTTTTAGAACAAGGCAGAATATTTATTACTTATTCATTCATTTGTTTCATTATCCAACAAACAACCAATTAACCAACTAACTGTTTTTGCAGGACCTATATAATGTTTTCATTTTATACTATAAGTCCACAAATTGTTACTGCTCACTTTCCCCACCACTTTCCTCCAAATTAAGTGAAAACTTGAGGCACATTACAGGTTCATACCTGCAGAATTTCACCACACACTCTCCTCAGAATTCTTTGTTTAAACAATTAGAAACTAATGCAAATTTGGTATAAAGTGGAATTTCTAGTTCTGCAACATGTCAGATTATCTTCATGTGTAAAACAAGTGACCATTTTTGTGTTACTGTATCTTAAGGAAGAGAACATGTGTGTCTAGAGTAAAGGTATATGTTACCTAAGAAAAGGGTCAATTTTATCAGGAATCTATGTGGAACTGAACGACATTTTAGAATAATTTTGCTAGTACTATCATTATGCCAAACGTCATTCAGCACCTCTGTAGTACAATGGATCTTTGTGTGTGTTTTTTCTTTATGCATCTGAAATGGGAATATCTACAGTACATGGACTCTTTTTCATTTCTATTATATACAATTTCTTAAAAAAATATATACAATACAAAACAAATAGACCTACAGAAAAGAGAGAGAACCCAGAAATAGACCTACATAAATATAGTGAACTGATCTTTGACAAAGAAGCAAAGGCAATACAATGAAGAAAAGACAAGCTTTTCAACAAATGGTGATGGAATAATTGGACATTTATGTGCGGAAAAGAAAAAAAAAGAATTTAGACACAGACCTTACACCTTTACAAAAATTAACTCAAAATGGATCATAGACTGTAAAATGCAAAACTATAAAGTTCCTACAATATAAAATAGGAGAAAAATCATTATGATCTTGGGTATGGAGATGACTTTTTTCTATTAAATATCAAAGAAAAGGAACCCAAGAAAGAAATAATTGATCAGCTGGACTTCATTAAAATTAAAAACTTCTGTTCTTGACATTGCAGAAGACAATGTCAAGAAAAAGAGAAGACAAGCCACAGACCAGGAAGAAATATTTGCAAAAGGCATATCTGATAAAGGACATTTATCCAAAATATATAAAGAACTCAACAATGAGGAAACAAACAACACAATTAAAAATGAGTAAAAGACCTCAATAGATACTTCACCAAAGAAGATGCACAGATATACAGCATATGAAGAGATACTCAATATCCTATATCAAGGAATTTCAAATTAAAACAACAAGATACCACTATACACCTGCTAGAAATGAAATTATTCAACACTAAAAAGAAATGGGTTATCAAACCACAAAAGATGTGGAGGAACCTTAAACACATATTACTAAGTAAAAGAAACCGGTCTGGAAAGGCTACATAGTGTATGCTTTCAACCATGTAACATTCTGGGAAAGGCAAAACTGTAGGGGCAGTAGCAAGATCAGTGGTTGTCAGGAGTTGGGGGGGTTGGCGGGGAGAGAATGAACAGACAGAGCACTGAGGGTTTTTAGGACAGTGAAACTATTAATGTGGTAGATACATGTCATTGTACATTTGTCAAAACCCATAGAGTAAACAACACCAGGAGTTAATAGACTTTGGGTGATAATGATGTACCAGTGTAGGTCCATCGACTGTAATAAATGTACCACTCTATTACATGATGTTGATAGTGGGAGAGGCAGGTACATGCAAAATCTCTGTACCTACTGCTCAATTATTCTATGCACCTAAAACTGCTCTAAAAAATTGTGTATTAAAAGAAAAGCATCTGTTCTCCCTGTTTTCAAATTTCTTATTTATTGGGGGATTCATCCTATTAAACTGGGTAACTTCTTTAATCACATGGGCAAGTAGGTGTTTTCTGAATCAAATAGTTGATAAGGCAATCAAAGCAATGCACACCCTCAGCTTCATAAGCCTACAGATTCCCCACTATTCAAAAAATGAGGGAAATCTAAGGCTACAGGTATCAACTATTTGTTCATAAATATTAAAAAACTATATCGAGATATAAAGTAATATTCACTTAATTAGGTGAGAAAACCGAGGCACTACATAGTTAATTACTTTTCAAGGGTCATCTAGGGCTACCATCAAGATTGAGACCTGACATGAAGCCCCGGGTTCTACTGTCACTGCTACTCAGCACAGAATTCTGTGGAAAAGCCCTGAGGCCTGAAGGAGCAGCCCACAATGACAGACTCCTTTATCTGGCTTCCAGAGTTTCTGAAATGCTTCAGTAATGGAATGAGCAGAGCTATGTCAGCCCACAACTATGAGTTTCCTCAGGGTGTCAGGAGTGATCCAGTTAGATGGTGAGTTCTTCTAAACTTCTGCGAATTTTCAATTTGAGAACTGGGGGTTGGACTGGCGGGGTCAGGATTGAGGGTGATAGGAAGGTGCTTCCAAGGGAAGCATCTGAGAATGACATCCAGAGGAGGGAACTGCACACTGAAAAAGCCCCACCTGAGACTCAGCACAGCTCCCCTCTGGGGCAGGCATACACACATCCTGCCTCATTCTGCTCCAATGAGAATCACTGTTTTGGAAGAATCGCACGGTCTCTTCCAGCAATAAAATCCTGACCTAAAAATTCCCAATTCTGAAAAATACATTTATTTTTTATGTTCTCATTTCCATATATCACCTATATTTCTTCAGATCTTTAGCTGACCTGGATCCTTTAGTTTACATACCTGGATCCTTATTAACATAATGGCACTGAATTTATTTGTCAGTAGTATTTTTACTTTTGTTCTAAGTCAGCATGCAGTATGCCCTGTTTTATGGTGAGCTATACTTAAAATATAAAATATAAAACATAAAATATAAAAATAAGAATCTTTTAAAAAAAATAAGAATTCATCAGATTAATCATAGCTACTAAAAAGTAAGCTCCATGAAGGCCAAGAGGTACTTGATAAATATTTCTTGAATAAGTTCATTCCACGATACTCTTAGAAAATGTGGTATGAGATTTCAAGATCTGGGTTCAAGTCCAGCCCCACCACCTGAGCCTCAGAGCTCAGAGGACCCAACAGGTCAGAAAGCATCAGGCAAAAATTGCTTCCTGAGGGGACCGGGAAGTTCCCAGCATCATACTACTTGTACTGATAACCAATCCTGAAATTTAGAAAATGAGTTTGGAGTTATAGTTGTCTTATTAGAAGTCTTAAACCTACACTTTCTCATAATTAACTCCTCTTCCCAGTCACTATATTCTAATGATTACCTTAATTACATAAATTAGAATGGAAAAAAAAGAAAGGTTCAAATGCTACTAGATACTGTTTCATTAGTTAAAATAATTAATCCTAACTGAGAATAGGTACAGTATAATCTTCTAGACTCTGAAGCAAAAAACCCTAAACCTGACAATAGTTATCTGAAAATGTAATTCAGAATCATGACTTTTTTTTTCCAACACAGACAGAAAACCCAGCGTTTCTCTAGAAGCCACTTATACTAGTAAATCCACAAACCAAACGGGGTGGGGTGGGGGGGGAGGAGACTAGATTTAGAGCAAAAGTATAAGGGTGATGTGTTCATGTTAATTTAAGTAACTGCAAAGTCAGGGAAAGCCAGGATGCAATCAGTGAGTCAGGATAGCTCATGAAAGGGCAGGGACAGGTAAGGAATGTACATTTGCATAAATCGTGAGACTCTTAAAACATTACTAATTTACACAGCCAGTCCCAACAATAGGCTTTTAGAAAGGGAAATGGAGATTTCTATGTTCTATTTTTCAATTTGGGACAGGTTAGAGATGGGAAATTTTAACATATCAAGAATCGGTATAAAAAAATCAGTATCAAATTTGAATCCTCAAACTCAAAATTCCATTCCCAAAGGGTTCCCTACTCATTGCTAAGAGCTATAGCTAGTCTGATTTCAGGTTAGATTTCATAATACTTGCACTAAGCCCATTCTGCCTTCTTGTAGTCTCCTAACCTAATCTATAATAATTAAGCATAATATGCTAATTAGACTGGACAGCCGAAAGACCTTTTGGACGTCATTCCAGATGTCCTTCTAGATGAAACAGCAGTGGCAGGACCAAGGTAGAGGCAGTTAGGGGCAATCAGGCAGGCAGGTGAGCAGTTAGGGGCGATCAGGCAGACAGGCAGAATGGTTAGGGGCGATCAGGCAGGCAGGTGAGCAGTTAGGAGTGATTAGGCAGGCAGGCGAGTGGTTAGGGACGATCAGGCAGGCAGGCAAAGTGATTAGGGGCGATGAGGCAGGCAGGCAGAGTGGTTGGGGCCATGAGGTAGGCAGGCAAGTGGTTGGGGCAATGAGTAGTCTCCTAACCTAATCTATAATAATTAAGCATAATATGCTAATTAGACTGGACAGCCGAAAGACCTTTTGGACGTCATTCCAGATGTCCTTCTGGATGAAACAGCAGTGGCAGGACCAAGGTAGAGGCAGTTAGGGGCAATCAGGCAGGCAGGTGAGCAGTTAGGGGCGATCAGGCAGACAGGCAGAATGGTTAGGGGCGATCAGGCAGGCAGGTGAGCAGTTAGGAGTGATTAGGCAGGCAGGCGAGTGGTTAGGGACGATCAGGCAGGCAGGCAAAGTGATTAGGGGCGATGAGGCAGGCAGGCAGAGGGGTTGGGGCCATGAGGTAGGCAGGCAAGTGGTTGGGGCAATGAGGCAAGCAGGCAGGTGAGTGGTTAGGAGCCAGCGGTCCCAGATTACAAGAGGGATGTCCGACTGCTGGTTTAGTGGGATCGGGCCTAAACAGGCAGCTGGACATCCCCTGAGGGGTCCCGGATTGCAAGAGGATGCAGGCTGGGCTGAGGGAACCCCCACCACACACACCATGCACAAATTTCGTGCACCAGGCCTCTAGTGTATGTATGTATGTATGTATGTATGTATGTATGTGTGTGTATAAATGCCTAATATGCAAATTGTCCCTTGGGAGTTCAACTAGGAGACTGGGAAATCACTTGCTATGACGTGTGCTGACCAACAAGGGGTGGCGCAGAACAAAGTAAGGCCCCGGCCGGCAGCCTAAAGGCCCCGATCAGCCCTGATTGCCAGCCAGGCCTAGGGACCCTACCTGTACACGAATTTCATGCACCCGGCCTCTAGTATGGAAATAATTAGACAGAGCATACTTTCCACCTTATCTAGCACTACTTTGACCCTCAGTCTCTACCTTCCAGCTATACTAGCCTTCTATCAGTGTCTCAAGTATACCAAGCTCTTTCCTGCTTCCTGGTCTTTGTACAAATGTTTTCTTTAATTGGAAGAGTTTCCTCCATCTGCACTACATGTACTCCCAAATTTCTATCCATCACTCAAGTCTGACCTTAAACTTACATGTCCTCAGTAGAGACCTTCCCAGCCTAGGTTGGATGCTATGTTCTCTTGGTACCTTCCACTTTTCTACAGCACTTCATTCAATTCTATCTATATTTTTTGGATAGTTATTTGGTATCTGACTCCCTTACTGGACTGATAGCTTCATGCGGGTAGAGACCAGGTCTCCTTGGTCCACTGTTGTATTCCAAGCACCTCAGCTCAGTATCTGGCACAAAGCAAGTGTATAATAAATACTTTTGAGAGAGAAAATTTAAAAATTATAAATTAGTATGCCCTAACTGGTTTGGCTCGGTGGATAGAGTGTCGGCCTGCGGACTGAAAGGTCCCAGGTTTGATTCCGGTCAAGGGCATGTTCCTGGGTTGCGGGCACATCCCCAGAGGGAGGTGTGCAGGAGGCAGCTCATCGGTGTTTCTCTCTCATCAATGTTTTTAACTCTCAATCCCTATCCCCTCCTCTCTGTAAAAAATCAATAAAATATATTTTTTAAAAAATTAAGTATGTAAAAGATACATCCACTGGAAACAAAGCTTTAACATGTTACATGATGTGAGCATAACAATGGATCCTATGTTAAAATGAAACTATTTAAAACAGATGGGGGGAGAAACCAAGATGGCGGCATAGGTAAACACCGGAGTTTGCTGCCTCGAACAACCACTTCAAAAATACAACTAAAAGACGGAACGGACATCACCCAGAACCACAGGAAAGCTGGCTGAGGGGAAATTCTTCAACTAGAAGGAAAGAGAACAGCATACCGAGACTCAAAGGAGGCGCAGTGCAGAAAATACAAAGGTGCAGAGGTGCACGCAGAACGGGCTGGTGGCTGAGGGTGCGGTTGTCTG